TATTGTGATTTAATCATGACTCCTAATATTGTAGAATTCTTAACGTAAACATAACTAATATGATACATACAAATATGATACAATTGCATAACTTATTATATATACTACATATTAAGTGAAAATCAAAGGAGATTTAAATATCTCCAAGCAATTCTTTGTATAGGTCAAAATTTGAATGTCCATATGAACTTGTAGGTCATACTACAAGGTAGGGTAAGCGTGTCCTTCCCATAGTTTTAGGATAAAAATCCTTTGGATACTTTTCCCCCTTAATTTCATAAAGTAGATGAAAATATTAACCTCGTTTTAGATGTGAGATTCCCCCCTTGATTCTGAAATAAGGTTTATTAACTTGCACGTAAAAACAAATTTAAAGTTAATTTTATATGTTATAATATTAATTTTTTAATTGTGAATGAAACCATAACCATTACCTTAATAATTTTTTAGACGAATATAAGAACCAAGATATTCACTCTGTAACAAACTAATTATGTCATTATATTTAGAATACTTTCAAGTTTTACGGCGAAATTGGCAGCCATGTTGACTGTCGATTAAAGATATTAGTTAGGGACAAGCACATAATTTTATGTGAATGTAAGTTTTTAGAAAATTAAAATTTAAAGACACAAAACTATAAAATTTTAGAGATGTGAAATTAGATCATTAATATAAATATTTTTTTTTATCTTAAACGACAATCCTATTTAAAACTACTTTGATTGCCGCATATGGTTGTATATGAGGTAGCTGATAATACTTTGGAAAAATAAGAGTTTAAAGGGTTAATAGTTAAGCACATGAGAACCAGAAATGATGTTCTGGGAAACCTAACCCGTCGACCATTTGCAAGCCTCAAATATTGAATTATATCCATCATATTTTTAACTTATTTTTCTTTCTGGAAATTGAAAAATTTTCTGTTCTAAAAGGTATTGGCTTTGATTGTGTAGGCCATGTTTCCTTTGAGAAGAAGGCCTGCATATATTTAAGCAGTGCCTATTCTTTGAGATTTACATGCAAAGACAAAATCTCCCATAAAGAACTATCTTTGTGTGCTTTTTCTTCCTTTTTGTTTTTCTAATTCCATGGCAAGTTCAGTTGTTTCATGGATGGTTTTAAGCATTTTCATGGCAATTTCAACCACTCAAGTTAAAGCTGCTGCCAGGGCCTTTTTCGTATTTGGTGATTATCTGGTTGATAATGGCAACAACAATTACCTCTCCACCACTGCTCGAGCCGACTCGCCTCCTTATGGCATTGATACTTCTAGCCACCGCCCAACCGGTCGTTTCTCCAATGGCAAAAACATTCCTGATTTCATCAGTTAGGGATTCTGCTCTTCTTCTTCATTGTAGACTGTAGTTTTATCTTATCTGACACCAATTTTAGAGTCCATAATTTAGACTCGTATAAAACTAAATGAAATGACTTAAAATGTGTATGCATATCAGGTGATGCACTTGGATCAGAGCCTACATTGCCATATTTGAGTCCAGAACTTAATGGAGATAAGCTACTTGTCGTGCCAACTTCGCTTCTGCTGGTATTGGAGTCCTCAATGACACTGGAATCCAATTTGTAAGTCCTCAAATTTCTTCTTTTTCTGAAAATAATTGATAATGATGGCAGGTAAAATTATAAGAATGTCCTGACAATTTCAATACTTTGAAGAATACCAGTCCAGATTGGCTGACCTTGCTGGAGAAGATGAAGCACAAAGGATAGTAAACGATGCATGTGTCCTTATCACCGTTGGCGGCAATGATTTCGTAAACAACTACTACTTGGTGCCATTTTCAGCAAGATCTCGCCAATTCAATCTACCTGATTACGTTAGATATCTCATCTCTGAGTACAGAAATCTTCTCATGGTAAAATCTCTTCCCCTTTTGTAACATTCGATCATCTAAATTTCGATCGTATCATGTTTATCATGAATATACAGTTAGTGAATGCTATCACAACCAGAACTTGAATAATCGAAACCAATGTAATATGGTAAATTGTGACATTATGTTGCAGAGACTGTATGAGCTAGGAGCACGGCAGGTTCTGTAACCAGGACCGGTCCATTGGGGTGTGTTCCTGCAGAACTGGCAATGAGGAGCCTAAGTGGTCAGTGTGATCCTGAGCTGCAACGAGCAGCGGCATTGTATAATCCACAACTTGTTGAAATGATTAATGGGCTCAATGGCCAACTGGCTACAAATATTTTCATTGCTGCTAATACACCGCATCAAACCAATGATTTCATCAGTAATCCTGGAGCCTATGGTAAGTATATATTATAGTTTAATATCATTTCCGAACACAAATATCTTAACATATGAATGGTAAATTTCTTTGAAGGATTTACTACATCAAAGATAGCTTGTTGTGGTCAAGCACCATACAATGGTTTGGGATTGTGCACTCCATTATCAAATTTATGCCCGAATAGAGACGAGTATGTTTTTTGGGATCCATTCCACCCATCCGAAAGGGCTAATGGGGTCATCGTTGACATGATTTTGAAGGGTTCAGCCGAACACATGAGCCCCATGAATCTCAGCACCTTCTTGGCTTTGGACACCACGACGACGACTTAGTTCAGTTCCTTTTGCACAACGATGAAGAACCTAAGCTTTTGTACTACCATTTGTTGTATGCTATTGCCATGCACTTGATTATTAATTTATTATGTTGTTCGTTTTGGAATTCGCTTCCTCATAACTTGTAATCTTTTAATTGAATAAGATTATTAAAATTGTGTCAAATGTTTACAAAATTATTTTAAATTAATACTCTTATTTACTTGAATAGCTAACTTGAAAATAATGTTGATAATAAATTAATAATCAAATATTTACAATATTTTAATAATCTTGTTAAAATTATATCAAATGTTTACCAAATTTTAATAATCTTTCATTCATTTTTTAAGTTAAAAAATAAAGTCTAATAAACAATATAGAACCTTCCATCAATGGAACTCATTGAATGATTAATCATTTAATTGATAAATGTTGGATTTTTTATGCAACAAATTTTGAAATGTCTATTATTTTTATTAACTATTATTTTTTTATGAAAGTAAAAGAAAAATATAAAGTTTAATAGGAGAAATAATATCTTTAGCATTATACTTCAATAAGATCCATTTCATGAATGTTGAATTGTTGATTGAAGTAAACTATTGTACTAAAAAAAAGACACAAATGTCTTTGATTCATGTTAATGTAATGTATTGATTATGAAAATAATTTGAAAAGTTAACATGATATAAAGTGTATGTATTCGAACCCTAATTTCTAAAATAGGTGGTTATCGAAACATAAAATTTAGGTACTTGTTTTAAAAAAAACTCATTACAAAAGTGATTTGATCTAACATATTTAACTGTATTTTATATTAAAGTATATTCTATCTTTAATTACGTATTTGAAAAATATGACATTGATGATATAATTATCTGAAAGACAATAAACGACGATATTTCAGATTTTGCGCATCTAAAAAGTAGCTGTAAAGGAAAGAAAATCCAAGCAAACTAGATTTCATCTTTGATGTACTTGTGACTCGCTCTTTTTTACAATTTGAAACAAAATACCACGGAGTTAAAGCAAAGTGATAAACCAGATATCGAAAAGCAAGTCCTTAACTCGAATGCAAGCGAAAAAGGTACCATTTCCACTGCCTATATAAATCCACCTAGTTCAGGGACACGATCACTGCCATCGAAGAATTCATACTCATTCAAGCAAAAATTAACAAGATACCATTGAGGTAACCAATTAAGATGCTTGTATTTTTGTGTAAATCTTCATGATTTTGACAACTTACAACTAACATTTTCAATGTGTTTTCGGTTGAAACAGATGGGGTTGGGAAATGGTGCATCGAGTTCATCATTGAACACGAAATCAGGTGAAGACAAGGTTAATAACAACAAGAATTTGAGTGTGTTGGTTGTTGATGATGATCCACTCATCCGAATGCTCCGTGATATGCATCTCAAGAGGTTTGGACTGAAGCCTCAAGTTGTTGAAGATGGGAAAAAAGCTGTCGATCTTTTTCGTATCAGAACTTCTTTCTATCTCATCCTAGTGGATAAGTAATCAGATTCAATTGATATACTTTCAAAAAATTATATACTAATGGTAGGAATAAATGCATATGCATGTGTGTTTTTTTCATAGGCAACTAAGGAGCTGAGAGATATGGGGATAAATAGCATGATCGTTGGCGTAACTTCGCGTGGCTTAGAGAGTGAGATGCAAGATTTCATGGAGGCTTGTTTGGATTATTGCTTTGAGAAGCCATTGACTCCTGATATGATCACTTTTCTTCTAAATGAGCTCAACAACAAGAACGATGACGATAACAACAACGATTGATATTCTCATCATCGATATGATTCGAGACATTAACCTACGATATTTCTCCTTGAGTTGTCTTACTAGAAAATAAAATGCAAACCCATTGCTTTCTATAGGCATTTATGTATTGGTTTGCTTTGCCCTTTATGGTTGTTGTTAAATACCAGTTTAATGTAATTTCCCTTTTCCTAATTAAAAAAAATCTGATGGATAATGCTTTTTATTTTGAAATTAAATTTGGTGAATTCTTTTTTAACATTATTATATATGAAGCAAGGCCTAAACAAAATACCAAGTATAATGATCTGGTGCTATAAGTGTTTCGAGTATGCATTGGTCTGGTTCAAGAATGTTCTACCTGAGATTACAAAGTTTGTTAATCAGTTATAAAACTGGTATTTCTAACTGATAGTTAGGTAGACACCTTTGAGCTAAACCTCTGCTATATAAAGAGGCTTCACTTTTTTTTTCAAAGAATGCATATTTCCACCTACACATTGCCATTGAAGACTCCATACTCATTCGAGCAAATTGACAACATACCATTGAGGTAATCAATCAAGATTCTTGTATCTTTGCGTAAATTTTCATGATTTTGACTACCTTATAACTAATATTTTAAATGTTTGAAAAGAAATGGAGACGGGAGATGGTGCATCGGGCTCATCATCGAACAAGAGACCAGAGGAGGACGAGATCACTGAAAAGAATAGGAAACCAGAGGAGGACGAGATCATTGAAGAGAATTGGAAACCAGAGGAGGAGGAGATCATTGAAAAGAACAAGAATTTGAGTGTGTTGGTTGTTGATGATGATCCAGTGGTACGGAGGGTCCATGATATGCTTCTCCAGAGCATTGGAATAAAGGCTCATGTTGTTGAAAACGGGAAAGAAGCTGTGGATCTTTTTTGCATTGGACTGTCTTACGATCTCATTCTAATGGACAAGGATATGCCTGTCATGAATGGCATTGAGGTATATATATACAATTTTCCAAAGTCAATTGATTGGCTTACAACTAAAATGGTATACTAATGCGTGTGTGTTTTAAAGGCAACAAAGGAGATAAGAGGAATGGGGATACACAGCATGATCGTTGGTGTGACTGAATCTGACGTAGACAGTGAGAAGCGAGAATTCGCGACGGCTGGTGTGGATTATTGCTTTCAAAAGCCTTTGACTCCCGAAAGGATCAATTTTATCCTGAATGACCTCAACAACTTCTGATCCTTTTCCAAGTTTTACACTAAGCATTCTGTGACCTTCAAGATGTTGGTATTTTCCAACTTGAGCTGTTAATAAATAAACCATATTCACTTACCAAAACAAGACAACATTAGTTTCTGTTAAACCATATAACAATCATGTATATTATACTCCTAAATCAATTACTCAAACACAAACCAAAATATTCTCATTTCAATCTAAACATCATATTCGATTTTTATTCAAACTTTTTATTTTTAATACTCTGTCACTTTTTACTAATCGAAGTTTAATCAATTACTTTAAAAAAGTGATAGAGTATCTCGTCACTTTAAAGTTCATATGCCCAAAAAATAAAAAAATAAAAACTGAAAGCGGTTAATAACCGCTTAAAAGCATATGCAACTTTTTATTTTTTTTCCATAAAAAATCAATTTATTCTTTCATATTAAAATGATACAAGTGAATGTTATGCTCAAATAGACATGGTTGATGAGGATTGACATTAATTTAATGATCATAATGAAAAACTCCTATAATTTAATATAGTTTACTCTAAAAATTCATTTCACATATAATTATAAACATAAACAATTTTTTTTTTGTGGGGTAAATTATCATTCCCTTTTATTGGTCATGGTCAATAACGTGAAGCTTAGCAGTTTAATCTCCCAAAACAGATCATCAAACATTCAAACTGGATACGTGTCAGTAATGAACAGAATCTTCTTTTTTGTTTTTCCCGAATGCACCAAACGGTTCAATCCTCCCTACACGTGCAGATCAACGGCTCAGATTTCTCCTCTCTTCCGTATATAAACTATGCGACGACAGGTCTCGGCAAATTAGCGGAAATTTGCTGGAAAAAATTGAAAAGGAAGAAGAAAGCTCGATTAGGGAAACGGTGGCTTTTGATCGAGTGTACTTCTTCTCCGTCGCGTTTCATTTTTCTAGGCCTTTGATCTGTTAAATGTCGTAACTTATTTTCCGATATTTTATGATTGTATTTTATTGAGTGAGATCGGAGATGTTGTCGTTGCAAAACGGAGTTGGGGTCTCTAGGACCGCTCCGTATGGCGTTGGAGTCGTCGATCGAGCTGATGATACCTTCGATGCTTCGTCGGTGGCTGCCGGGAAATCTTCCGTCTATGCGGTGAAGCAGGAGCTGTCTTCTTCACTCGGTATCGTGCCTCATAGTGGGCACGGTTCACATGAAGGTTCGTTTCTTCAATTTTTTAATATCAATATTTATTTGTTTTCATGAAAAAAAAATAAACGCGCGAAATGTTAGATTATCTTTGTTGTTTTTTTAATTTGTGTTTGTAAAATTTCTTATTTGATTTCTAAACAAACTATAGTTTTCAGTTAGTTCTCCAATTTTGTTTTGGCAAAATGGGGTTGATGCATAGATTTTAGACTTTTTGCCTGTCAGAAGAATTTATTAAATACTGTAAAATTCTAAATTGGTCAAATTATCTTATCTGTGTAATTTCTTATTTTAATCACTGATGTCGCCCATGATTTTCTTTTGATGCAGTTGATGAAGATATGCACTTGGCTCTAGCTCATCAAATGTATAAATCTGGAAACTACAAACAAGCGTTGGATCATAGCAGTGCTGTTTACAATCAGAACCCGCTTCGTACTGATAATCTGCTTCTTTTGGGTGCTATTTATTATCAGGTTAAGAGATTGCCTTTTTTGTCTTCCTTTTATGGGGACCTTGTTTTATGATTTTATATAAAGCTTTTTGTATATGTTTTTCAGTTACATAATTATGATATGTGCATCGCCAAAAATGAAGAAGCCCTTCGAATCGAGCCTCGTTTTGCAGAGTGTTATGGGAACATGGCAAATGCTTGGAAGGTACTTGTTAATCTTCATGCAATTTTTTTAAGTTAAATTTTGAAAATTAAGTAATTTATTTTAAAGAACTGATGGAGGTGTAACCTAATATGTAGGAAAAAGGCGATATTGATGTTGCGGTTCGGTACTATATGATTGCAGTTGAGGTTTGTATATGGTTATAAAACTTCTCTCTTGTTAGTAACTCCCTCTTTTGCCAGCCAAATCTTCCGTTATATTGTTAATCTTTGTTTGAACTTGCATTGCTGCAGCTTCGACCTAACTTCGCTGATGCATGGTCGAATTTAGCTAGTGCTTACATGAGAAAAGGAAGATTTAACGAGGCTGCACAGTGTTGCCGGCAAGCACTGCAACTAAATCCTCTTTTGGTATGATTTTAATCTGGTTATGTTTTATTATAATCCATTAAATGTTCTAAACTTGCAATTCTATATGAATTTCAACATTTCAATTTTTTTTTTGGTTCCTTTGTTTGCGTATCAACTGTGACTCATGATTTAAGATTTCAATAAGATTTTTTTGAACTGTGTAAGATATCTGACCTACACCTTTTAATTGCTTTACAGGTTGATGCTCATAGTAATCTTGGAAATCTTATGAAGGCGCAAGGGCTAGTGCAAGAAGTAAGTGTCAAGAAATAAAATGTTTCTACTGTTTGATAGCCTACTTATAGTTTCCGTGTATGTGAAATTCTTGAGTTAAATTATGTTTAATTGTTAGCTGATAGAATTCATGCCTTTGGCATTACCATGTTGAACTCTTCAATAGGATTTGGTTGGACCTCATTCCATTCCATCTTTTGGTGGAAGTGGTTTAATCTTTTACCTGCTTTGAGTGTGTATGCTCATTGCTGATTAACCTCGCCTAACCTCTTACCCTCCTGCTCGAACACGTGAGGGGAAAACATCCTTCCCTTATTTATTGATTTTTGCAGTGTGTCTTTATCTGGTAAGTTACTGATCGAGGTAATTCATATGTGGAACTGTGTCTTGATGTCACACTTCGATACAGATATGAACTTCTTATCCACAGTCCAGGGCTCAGATGATGGTTGCTCTTGTTATAACTTCATCTTCAGGGATCGAATTGTCAGACCTAATGTTTTGTGCAGGCATACAGTTGCTATATTGAGGCTCTACGGATACAGCCTACTTTTGCTATTGCATGGTCAAATCTTGCGGGTCTGCTCATGGATTCAGGTGACTTAAATCGAGCCCTTCAGTATTACAAGGTATGCAGAATGTTGTTCCCATCATTTTTTTCTTTTGTCGTTCTTTTTTGTAAAAAATCCTGTATTTTTTATTTCCCTGATGACATGGTCAATTTTTCATGTGCTGCTTCTTTTTTAATAATTTTCCACGAGATATAATCTGCCATCCCCCTCCTCCCCCCCTTCCCAAAACCGATTTTAGTCCTAAAAATTATTTTATGTTCTGCAATACTGATCTAATTTGCTAATTTGAAATTGTAGGAAGCGGTTAAACTTAAACCAACATTCCCTGATGCCTATTTAAATCTTGGGAATATTTATAAGGTAAGCCATCTTGCCTTGTGCTGATAATGTTTTGTTTCTGCTAGTGCCTGGAGCGTTCTTGTATTGGAGAAAAACATGATATCTGTTTCTTTCCAGGCTTTGGGAATGCCTCAGGAAGCTATTGTTTGTTATCAGCGTGCTGTTCAGACTCAGCCAAACAATCCAATTGCTTTAGGTAAGTGTCTACTACAAATATATTTTTTCTTTGATCAAGGATGAAAATTTTCTTTGAACTATCATTTGTTTTGTGCTGTAGTTTGTCTTCTGCTTTTTTATTTTCTTATAACCGTTGCATGCCTTTTTTTTTGTGCTTGGAGCTATTTAGATTTTTATTATACATTAGAAAGACAAGTTAAATAATGTTATTGAAGTACACATTATGTGATTATGGTGCAGGAAATCTGGCAAGTACATACTATGAGCGAGGTCAACTGGATCTGGCTATCCTCCATTATAAGCAAGCTATTTCTTGTGATCAACAATTTTTGGAGGCTTACAATAATTTGGTTCGTTTCAATTTTTGTCAGATTGTAGACTTTATTGTTTGCTTCTATGCTAAACTGAATTTGCTTTTAATTATTTTCTTGAAGGGAAATGCTTTGAAAGATACAGGTCGTGTTGATGAGGCAATTCAATGCTATAATGTAGGTTTTTTTCCTGGCCATTTATGTTTCTTCTTTCTTTTTTTTCCTGTAATTATTGTTATTGATCTTATCAACTTACAAATTTTCCATTGTTGGTTAAGCAATGTCTCACTTTGCAACCTAATCATCCACAAGCACTTACCAACCTGGGAAATATATATGGAATGGTATGCTATCCTCAAATTCTTGATATGTGGATTACTAAAATACAGCTCGTGATGAATTTTTTTAGTGAATGGAATTCTTACAAGATCTTTTTAACTTTGCAGGAACATGGTTGCTGCTGCTGCTTCTTACTATAAGGCTACATTGGCTGTCACAATAGGGTTTTCTGCTCCATTCAACAACCTTGCCGTAATCTATAAGCAACAGGTTGTACTTTGGTGTTCGATTTTCTGTTATCACCTTTGATACTGAAATTAAGTTAGCAACTGCCTTTTTCTTTGCCTCTTGTATCTAATGAGTATCATTTTTTCTCTGCAGGGAAACTATATAGAAGCTATATCTTGTTACAATGAGGTTTTGCGGGTTGATCCCTTAGCAGCTGATGGGCTAGTAAACAGGGGTAACACTTACAAGGATATTGGTAGAGTCACTGAAGCAATTCGGGATTATATTCGTGCTATTAATATCCATCCAAATATGTCAGAAGCCCATGCAAATCTGGCTTCTGCTTATAAAGACAGGCAATTTTCTTTGTTTCTTGTCATTCCTTTTCAATTTTCACATTCCTTGATAAGAGGGTCCATTTCAACTTAAAAGAAGAGGGACTTCGTTTTCCAAAATTTAATGATGTTTCTCTTTGAGCTTATATAATATCTTGAGATCTCTCTTTCTCTTGCCTTTGCCGATGTCTCCTTATTGGTTAAGGTTTTGTGAAGATATTTTTTCATTTTAGCTATAAGACAACTTTCTTTTGTTGTTTGCCTTTTGAATATTTGTACATAATACAATCTTTGTATGGCCTTTTTGTTACC